GAGAGAGCGAGTCAGCGAGAGAGCGAGTCAGCGAGAGAGCGAGTCAGCGAGAGAGCGAGTCAGCGAGAGAGCGAGTCAGCGAGAGAGCGAGTCAGCGAGAGAGCGAGTCAGCGAGAGAGCGAGTCAGCGAGAGAGCGAGTCAGCGAGAGAGCGAGTCAGCGAGAGAGCGAGTCAGCGAGTCAGCGAGTCAGCGAGAGAGCGAGTCAGCGAGAGAGCGAGTCAGCGAGAGAGCGAGTCAGCGAGAGAGCGAGTCAGCGAGAGAGCGAGTCAGCGAGAGAGAGAGAGAGAGCGCGTGCGCCTGCGCCTGCACACTCCTCCTCTGTTCCCTGGGGCTGCGGTAATTGGCTTTGACAGTTACCTGACCGGAAGCAATTAGTCGGTGCCCACTTTCCTCCAGGTGTAATGAACACAATGATCGCTCGCCCCCCACCTGAACGAGAAAAAATAATGTTGTTTTCTTATGAGTATAATTTAATGATATACTCAGCCCCAGTCTCACAATTTTCCCACTCCGTAAGAAATGAAAATGGCGGTGCCTAACCAGGGCCATGGGAACCCAATGACCAGTTGGTGAGTTGAGAGGCGGGACCAAAGAGCCAGAGCTCAACCCCCCCGCAAACACAGTTAAGTGAGTACCACTCTGTATTTAACGAAGATAAGTTCCAGATCATGCGCTACGGAAAAAAATGAAAATATAAAAACAGAAACCACGTACAAAACGCAGGCAAATCATAACAGAACGAAAAGGCAATGTAAAGGATCTGGGTGTACTCATGTCGGAAGACCTGACCTTTAAAGAACACAATAAAGTAGCCGTCACAACTGCAAGAAAAATAACAGGTTGGATAACAAGAACTTTTCACACTAGAGATGCTATACCGATGATGATACTTTTCAAGACACTTGTGCTCTCTAGAGTGGAGTACTGCTGCACAATGACAGCACCTTTCAAAGCTGGAGAAATTGCTGACCTGGAGAGCGTGCAGAGATCCTATACTGCTAGAATCCACTCAGTAAAACATCTAAACTACTGGGACCGACTAAAGAGCCTAAATCTGTACTCCCTTGAGCGCAGGCGGGAGAGATACATAATAATTTACAAATGACAAATAGTAGAGGGGCTGGTCCCAAACCTGCACACAGAAATAACACCACATGAGACCAGAAGACATGGCAGGATGTGCAGAATACCCCCGTTGAAAAGCAGAGGTGCAACCGGTACTCTGAGAGAGAACTATCAACATCAGAGGCCCGAGACTGTTCAACACGCTTCCACTACACATGAGGGGCATAACTGGCCGACCCCTCACAGTGTTCAAGAGAGAACTATCAACATCAGAGGCCCGAGACTGTTCAACACGCTTCCACTACACATAAGGGGCATAACTGGCAGACCCCTCACAGTGTTCAAGAGAGAACTGGATAAACACCTCCCAAAGGATACCTGATCAACCAGGCTGTGACTCATACATCAGGCTGCGAGCAGCCGCGTCCAACAGCCTGGTTGACCAGTCCAGTAACCAGGAGGCCTGGTCGACTACCGGGCCGCGGGGACGCTAAGCCCCGAAAACATCTCAAGATAACTTTACCTGTGACGATTGATCTTCAATCAATCAATCGTATATAATAACTTACGGGATCACTATAGGCCGTGCTACATAATAATTTTTGTTCCGAGTAGCTGAATCTCTAGCAACAACAATCGTATGTAAACATCACGCTGGTATATAAACATCACCACTCACATAAAACATCACAACCCTCACTCCTCGCCCCCTAAGATCCTTATAAAACATTGTATCCGTCAACATTTCCACTTGAGTGGCCAGTGAACGCGGTGGGTTTAGACAGGTCGGGCAAAGAGAATCTCTCTGGGAAAAAGAACTTTGAGAAACAAACTTGTTTGTGCATATGCGTGTGTGCGTGTGTGTGTGTGTGTGTGTGTGTGTGTGTGCGTGCGTGCGTGCGCGTGCGTGTGTGTGCGTGCGTGCGTGCGTGCGCCTCTCAGCGGTGACGTTATACATGAGGTAAGTGTGTGTGCTCACTCAGGGAAATCAACTAATGGTACGTAGACGAAATATTAAACAACAGTCAAAGGTTAGACTCTTAGACACTCTTGCCTGTCACCTGCCTGTTCCCTGGAGCATACCTGGAGAGTGTTTCGAGAGTCCTTCTACTCCCCGAGCCCGGCCTGATGCCAGGCTCGACTTGTGACAACTTGGTCCAACAGGCTGTTGCTTGGAGCGTCTGCCTGTACCCCGTCACTGCCAACAATTCAGAAATAATTCTCAATAAATTCAACCCGTTTTCAGTCTGTCCATTCCATCCAGCGGTCGACCCCAGAGACACATTCATCAATTTTAATATGCTGTTCATTCAAAACAGGATTTTTTTTTTTAGATATAAGTTAATATTATTATATATGAGCATATTGTGCATATTTAGGCATAGGTTAGGTTAGGTGTTTATAGGTTCTGTTGGCGATTATTTGTATTTGTAGTACGTGGGTGAAGCATTTACAGCGTTGTGGTTCGAACAACAGTCGTCAGTGAAGCACTTGTTCCGGAAGTGTTCGGACGTCACCAGTTGCGAGTCGTGTGTAAACCGTTTTTCATTCATAAACAGCTGGGGGTTTGGCGGGTGCATGGAATGGTCTTTGGGGCCTTTGTTTATGAGGACGTGCTGAGAAATTACTGGTCTTCCCACGTACAGGACAGACCGGGGGTCGAAGCCCCCCCTTGTCTCCTCATGTAGTCCACTCAGCCATCATCATTGTCCATAGTCAGAGTTTTGCTTAACACGTCATAGAGCGAGATGATTGTACTGGTGATTTGTGCAGTGACGGGTGTGTGGTACAGCAGTGACGGGTGTGTGGTACAGCAGTGACGGGTGTGTGGTACAGCAGTGACGGGTGTGTGGTACAGCAGTGACGGGTGTGTGGTACAGCAGTGACGGGTGTGTGGTACAGCAGTGACGGGTGTGTGGTACAGCAGTGACGGGTGTGTGGTACAGCAGTGACGGGTGTGTGTGGTACAGCAGTGACGGGTGTGTGTGGTACAGCAGTGACGGGTGTGTGTGGTACAGCAGTGGCGGGTGTGTGTGGTACAGCAGTGACGGGTGTGTGTGGTACAGCAGTGACGGGTGTGTGTGGTACAGCAGTGGCGGGTGTGTGTGGTACAACCGTGACGGGTGTACAGTGCCACACTTATAGCTCCCCACCCCCCACATATCACGCCCAAATTCCTGTACTCATCTTAACGGTTGAGATGAAGGGATAGAAGTGATGCTGCTAAGATGGAACAGAGATGCAGGGAAAGGAGACCTAACAAGGGTAATACAAGACGATACAAAGAGATGAGACGAGGGAAGGGAAGACTCCGCGAGACAAAGGAAAGAGGAGAAAAAGACGCTAATATTGGACAGAGAGAAGACGAGCCATGTGATGCTGGAATAGATTATCAGGAGAGAAGATTGCCTGGAGAGATGAGGGATGCCGAGGCTTCCCCCCTCCCCCTCCTGCAGGTAAATTCCAGGTAATCACTCGCTAGGGCATGTGAAGGCGCTCTGTTGTTTGTTTATACGACAAACTTGAGATGAAACGATAAAATGGTAACGGATATTAAAACGAGAGAGAGAGAGAGAGAGAGAGAGAGAGAGAGAGAGAGAGAGAGAGAGAGAGAGAGAGGGAGAGAGAGAGAGAGAGAGAGAGGGGGGGGGAGAGAGAGAGAGAGAGGGGGAGAGAGAGAGGGGGGGAGAGAGAGAGGGGGGGGAGAGAGAGAGAGGGGGGGGAGAGAGAGAGAGGGGGGGAGAGAGAGAGAGGGGGGAGAGAGAGAGGGGGGGAGAGAGAGAGGGGGGGAGAGAGAGGGAGAGAGAGAGAGAGAGAGAGAGAAAAGGGGAGAGAGAGAAGGGGAGAGTAATTTTAGGAAATATCTGGTTATCTGGAGATGATTTCGGGGCTTTAGTGTCCCCGCGGCCCGGTCCTCGACCAGGCCTCCACCCCGTGACGTGAGGAAGCAGCCCGTGACAGCTGACTAACACCCAGGTACCTATTTTACTGGTAGGTAACAGGGGCATAGGGTGAAAGAAACTCTGCCCATTGTTTCTCGCCGGCGCCTGGGATCGAACCCAGGACCACAGCATCACAAGTCCAGCGTGATGTCCGCTCAGCCGACCGGCTCCTCTTCTAAATAGAGAACTATTCAAAAGCGGTTTCTTTCGTTCAAGGAAATTGTGGACAGTGGTAGTTCACCTGGTCAGTGCCGGATCAACCGGGCTGTGGGGGGGTAGGTGGGCCTGCGGGCCGCTCCAAGCAACAGCCTGGTGGACCAAGCTCTCACAAGTCAAGCCTGGCCTCGGGCCGGACTTGGGGAGTAGAAGAACTCCCAGAACCCCATCAAGCAGGTATTAAGCAGGTCAGGACACTCTGCCTCCTGACCCGCACTCCAGCATCTCCACGGGCTCACCATAGCCCGTGCTACTTGGAGCTTTTTGTTCTAGGTAGCGAATCTTTAACAACAACGACATCCAGCCTCTCTCTCCGGCTGGATGCCGCCACAACTTCCTCCCATAAACGGCTTCCCTCGGCTGTATCCCAAATTTATATTAAAATAATTCACGTAAATAAAAACATGTATGTTTCCTGTATGAGCTGGGGTTATCGCGTCTACAATTTAAGAGCCTGCAGTAATGGTTTAGAGTAGTTTTAGGCTATTGGTGAATGTTACGTAGCGTTGTAGTCCAATGGTCTTTTGTTTCATTAGGCTTGAGGAGGAGGAGGATATTAGTACTCCGCTTTGTTGGGGCTTTTGTTTGGGACCTCTCGAGTCCATCATCATTACCTTTTGAGCATGTGGAGTTATCATAACGCTGACAACGTAATTCCTAGTATTGTGTGCTGGTGTTGGGGAGGCGGACTTTCGGGTCCTGGTGGATAATTTGACCACCAAGGTGCTTTTTACCTTGAAGCACCGGCCGGACACACGCAGAACTATGCCAGAACTATGGCGGACACACGCAGAACTATGGCAGACACACGCAGAACTATGCCGGACACAGGCAGAACTATGCCGGACACAGGCAGAACTATGCCGGACACAGGCAGAACTATGCCGGACACAGGCAGAACTATGCCGGACACAGGCAGAACTATGCCGGACACAGGCAGAACTATGCCGGACACACGCAGAACTATGCCGGACACACGCAGAACTATGCCGGACACACGCAGAACTATGCCGGACACACGCAGAACTATGCCGGACACACGCAGAACTATGCCGGACACACGCAGAGCTATACCGGACACACGCAGAACTATGCCGGACACATGCAGAGCTATGCCGGACACACGCAGAGCTATACCGGACACACGCAGAGCTATACCGGACACACGCAGAACTATGCCGGACACATGCAGAGCTATACCGGACACACGCAGAACTATGCCGGACACACGCAGAACTATGCCGGACACACGCAGAACTATGCCGGACACACGCAGAACTATGCCAGAAAGATAGAAATTAGCGCGAACAATGATCACCTTAGAGTTTGGAGACATGGAATATAATAAAGGTACCATATAATGCTGCTGTCTGAGCGGAGGGAGGTGTGAGTAGCACCGGGTGTACGGATGTCAGCATTGTGATGCTGGCAGTAATGTGGCCGGGAGCGGCCCTGTGAATGTGCCAATATGAGATGCTTATTTAAAGGGAAAAGTATCAATAAGGTGAAGAACATTTCCCCGTGGAAGATGGTGGTAGAGGACGAGGCACGCTCTCTCTCTCATGTCTTCCAGACGTAAATAATGTACACTCTATTTTGCCAAGATGCGAATCCTCGGAGTTCGTCTTCGCCGACGACGCAGCGATCACCACACACACAGCAGAAGGCCTGCAGCAGCTACTCAACCGCTTTGCCGCAGCCTGTTCCGCATTCGGCCTAACAATTGGCCTGAAGAAGACACAGGTGATGGGACAAGATGTCAATGAGCTACCCTGTATAAACATCACATACTATGTGCTGGAGGCGGTCCACGAGTGTGTGTACCTGGGCTCCACAATCTCAGACACCCTTTCCCTGGACACTGAGCTCAACAGGCGTATCGGGAAGGCCGCAACAACACTGGCCAGGCTCACAAAACGCGTGCGGGAACATGCCAAACTGACAGTGCACACCAAGGCACAGGTCTACATGGCATGTGTGGTGAGTATACTTCTCTACGGCTCGGAATCCTGGACCCTGCGCTCTCGCCAGGAGAGACGGCTCAATACCTTTCACATGCGGAACCTGAGACGCATCCTTGACATCACGTGGAGAGACCACGTCACCAACAACACAGTACTCGAGAGAACGGGAGTCCCTTCAATGTTCACTCTCCTGAAACAGAGACGCATGAGGGTGGCTGGGACATGTCACACGCATGGAAGATGGCCACATACCGAAGGACCTGGCATCAGGAAGGAGACCCACCGGAAGACCTCAGCTGCGTTTCAAAGATGCCTGCAAACGCGACCTCAAGCAGATGAACATTGACATCAACACCTGGGAGGCAGCAGCTGCGGACAGATCTGCCTGGAGATGTAAAGTGCAGAAGGGACTCCAGCAATTCTAGGATGAACTGAAGAGGCAGGCGGAGGATAATAGACTTCAGAGGAGGTCTCGACCACTGTCAGACGCACCCGCTTCAGCGTTTATCTGCGCTCGCTGCGGTCGAGACTCATTCTCGGGTTGGCCTTGACAGCCACAGCAGGCGCGGCATCCAACTACACTACAACAACTAGACACCCTGGGCACAGCTCCATAACCCCACGGGATTGACGGATGCCTACTATTAGGCCAACCACTTGGACTGGTCGATACAGGGAGGGACTCGCTGCTTGCTGGTCCTTGTTCAGTCCCCGGTAACTCGGGTGACGGAGCATCATTTCTTACCTTTCCTTTGCCAGGTCGTTGTCCCTCACATCCCAGCTCCTTGTCCTCACATCCCAGCTCCTTGTCCTCACATCCCAGCTCCTTGTCCTCATATCCCAGCTCCTTGCCCTCATATCCCAGCTCCTTGCCCTCATATCCCAGCTCCTTGCCCTCATATCCCAGCTCCTTGCCCTCATATCCCAGCTCCTTATCCTCATATCCCAGCTCCTTGTCCTCATATCCCAGTTCCTTGTCCTCATATCCCTGCTCCTTGTCCTCACATCCCAGCTCCTTGTCCTCATATCCCAGCTCCTTGCCCTCATATCCCAGCTCCTTGTGCTCACATCCCAGCATCTTGTCCTCGTATCCATTACAAGTGTTATGTAGCCATATATCCTTAGCACTTTCTCCTGGTAATTACCTCACCTAGGACTAATTTAGTACATATATGTACTATACTCGGTCTCGTCAAGAATAGGTCTGGCTGGTGTCGTAATTTTCGGAAGCGCTGTAAGTTAATAGCTCACTAAAGTCAACGTACATTAGTTCCACTAACGTTATTAGTACAAAATGTGAACTTTTTTGGTTGGTTGGGGGGGGGGGTAAGATTTTTTAGCTTTATTTTTGTTTATTTTGAGCTTTAAGTCCTCAGAGGTTATAGATGCTCTCACTCTTAAAGGCCACGTTGATTTGACTTGAGTACATCACCTCCCCCCCCCCTTCCCTATTCCCCCACTCAACCCCCCCCCCTCTCACCCAAACACAACCCTCCCCCTCCTTCCTCCCATCCCCTCCTAACTCTCCCTATATCCCCAGATATCATCGAGGTTGAACATCCTATCGGCACGGATTGGTATTTAAACAAGCAAGTATCCAGCATTTCATGGATTAACAATCGAAGTACCGAGAGGATACATTTCGATTTAGGAGTGTGTGTGAAGTGCTGGTTTGGGATTAGGATTTTGAATGGCATGGAGTGAGAGCTGGCATTATTGAGACGGTTTCAGTAGCTTTTAAGACTAGATTGGGTAGATGTGTGGGTGACAAGGGCTGGTTTTAAATACCATCCGCCTACTATAGGCCTACAGACAGGATGGATTGTAACTGGGATCCGCCTGCTGTATTTCTTATCTTGAGGTTATCTTGAGATGATTTCGGGGCTTTTTTTTTTTTTTTTTTTTTAGTGTCCCCGCGGCTCGGTCCTCGACCAGGCCTCCACCCCCCAGGAAGCAGCCCGTGACAGCTGACTAACACCCGGGTACCTATTTTACTGCTAGGTAACAGGTGAGGGTGAAAGAAACTGCCCATTGTTTCTCGCCGGCGCCTGGGATTGAACCCGGGACCACAGGATCACAAGTCCAGCGTGCTGTCCGCTCGGCCGACCGGCTCCCTAACTCATAACGCTCGGACTCCCTTCCTCCATAACTCCTCTATTAATGTATTGATTTTGAGATGTGAGAAGCAAATAACTATCCAGCAATTCCAGGGGACTGGCATTAATACCTAAATCATTACAGAGAAGTGACGTACTGGAGCCTACAGGCTGGTAACTGTACGTTCACCTCTGGCAGCTCAAAAGGAAGACTGAAACTAAAGAGGATTAGTTTGTATATATTGTATATATATTATAGACCATGTTGCGGTACAGTTGACTAGAATGCGTCTGGGAACACCCACCGCAAAGGTTCGAACCCTCATCGAGGCCCTTTGTGGATTTGTACATAATATAGAGAGTAATAAGGTATTAAATATAGTAACCCCAAAATGCAGTGTAAATGTGGACATGTTTGATAAGTTTCCATTCAGGAAAGAGATGGTAAATATTGGTCTGTAAACAGGGTTGGTTATTTATGGAACAGATTACCAGGTAACGTAATAGGCGAGAGGTCGCTGAATAGGGTCTGGCGAAGGTTAGACATGTGCACTGAATGGGTTTGGGTGGGTATAAATAGGAGCTGCCGCGCATAGGCCTTGTGCACTTTCCGTTATTTTTTATGCGAATTTCTACAACATCGGTAAACAGCCTCCAAAACTGCATCACATAGAGGAGCAGAATCATTTACATCAGCACCAAGAGATACAGCATCAGCTACAACAGCAAGAGATACAGCATCAGCTACAACAGCAAGAGATACAGCATCAGCTACAACAGCAAGAGATACAGCATCAGCTACAACAGCAAGAGATACAGCATCAGCTACAACAGCAAGAGATACAGCATCAACTACAACAGCAAGAGATACAGCATCAACTACAACAGCAAGAGATACAGCATCAACTACAACAGCAAGAGATACAGCATCAGCTACAACAGCAAGAGATACAGCATCAACTACAACACCAAGAGATACAGCATCAGCTACAACAGCAAGAGATACAGCATCAGCTACAACAGCAAGAGATACAGCATCAGCTACAACAGCAAGAGATACAGCATCAGCTACAACAGCAAGAGATACAGCATCAGCTACAACAGCAAGAGATACAGCATCAACTACAACAGCAAGAGATACAGCATCAACTACAACAGCAAGAGATACAGCATCAACTACAACAGCAAGAGATACAGCATCAACTACAACAGCAAGAGATACAGCATCAACTACAACAGCAAGAGATACAGCATCAACTACAACAGCAAGAGATACAGCATCAACTACAACAGCAAGAGATACAGCATCAACTACAACAGCAGCATAAAGAGCAAATGTTTCTGGACCTCACTAACCCATTATATACCTGCCTGGAAGACCGTATATAACCTTTCTGACTGGTGGCCGCGCTGGGTGCTCTTGGCGCGCCCAGATGGATTACCTTGCTCTTCCCACCACCACGGTGTAACTCACCCCAGAGAACGGAGTGACGGATGGGTCGTCGAGCTCTCTCCCCCTCGACCTCCTCCAGGCACCGGGTTTCTTCCGGGATGGGAAACTGGTGACGACCACGCCCCGAACGACAGTCGAGTGTGGGGCTACGACGCCCCGAACGACAGTCGAGTGTGGGGCTACGACGCCCCGAACGACAGTCGAGTGTGGGGCTACGACGCCTCGAATGACAGTCGAGTGTGGGCTACGACGCCCCGAACGACTGTCGAGTGTGGGCTACGACGCCCCGAACGACAGTCGAGTGTGGGGCTACGACGCCCCGAACGACAGTCGAGTGTGGGCTACGACGCCCCGAACGACAGTCGAGTGTGGGGCTACGACGCCCCGAACGACAGTCGAGTGTGGGCTACGACGCCCCGAACGACAGTCGAGTGTGGGCTACGACGCCCCGAACGACAGTCGAGTGTGGGCTACGACGCCCCGAACGACAGTCGAGTGTGGCTCTTCGAACCGATTTTCGTGCCGAAGGAAATCCATCTTTGTGGCGGTTTCCGGGGTCAGTGGCACCCAGGTGTCCGACCCGAGCTCCTGGTTGATTGATCAAGTTGTTGATGCCTGCAGCCCGGACTCTGACGTGTGGGTCCGGCAGCCTGTGGTTGATCAGGTACCCTTTGGAGGAATTTATAATGTTCCTGAACACCTTCGTACCTTCCAGAGGTGTGTGGAAGGTACAAAACTACCAGAGGTAGCTTTGTACCTTCCTTAAGAGGTACAAAGCTACC